GTATTGAAAAAAGCTGCAGCTACAGTTAATATGATCTATGGTCTTGATCAAGAGATAGGGAAGACGATTATCAAAGCCGCCGATGAGGTATCTTGGGAAATTCGAAATGTAACAAATAAGATTGTTGATTGTTGATACATTTCTATCTTAAACAGGTAATTGAAGGAAAACTTTTGGATCACTTTCCGTTGGTAGTGTGGCAGACTGGTTCTGGAACGCAAACCAACATGAATGTCAACGAGGTAAGCTTATTTATTAGTATTTTTGATGATTTGGAAAGCAATGATCGAAGATCTTCATGTTATTAATTAACAGGTAGTCGCAAATCGTGCAATTGAAATCTTGGGTGGTCAGCTTGGCAGCAAGAATCCAGTTCATCCTAACGACCACGTAAATATGAGTCAATCATCCAATGATACGTAAGTAACTCTTTACTTTCTTCTTATCAGAATTGGTATTTTTTTCACCATAAACATGTAAAAAATCATAATAGTTTTCCGACCGCAATGCATATATCCGCCTCGATTGAAATCAATAATAAACTTATTCCGGCTTTGAAGAATTTGCGCGACGCTCTTGCCGAAAAATCCGAAGCTTTCGCGAATATAGTCAAGATTGGCAGGACACATTTGCAAGTATGTTGGTTTCTCGATTTGCGAATGGTCCAAAATTCATGTGCAATAGACCCAGCTAAACCTTTTACAAATATTAGGATGCGACACCACTTACTCTTGGAAACGAGTTTTCCGGTTATGCTCAGCAATTGACTTTTGGAATTGAACGCATCCAGGGAACACTGCCAAGGATATACTACCTCGCTCAAGGAGGTACTGCAGTTGGTACCGTAAGTACCGGTACATTAATCTATCTATTTACAGTGTTTACAATTTTCCTAATCATATGATTATCGACACCAATACATAGGGCCTAAACACGAAACCAGGATTTGACGTTAAAGTCGCCGATGAAATTGCAAAGATTACCGGCTTGCCATTCAAGACTGCTCCTAATAAAGTTGGTCAAATTTGAAGATAATATTTAGCCTCATCACTGAACGAATTTAATTGACTGTTAAAAATTATTTTTATTAATTGAGCTAGTTTGAAGCATTGGCAGCACATGACGCCATAGTTGAAGTTAGCGGTGCCCTCAATACCGTGGCCGTTTCTCTAATGAAGATAGCTAATGATATACGTTTTCTTGGTTGGATTCATGAGAATTTGGATTATTTTATATTAGGAAGAAAATAAGATCGAAATCACAATGGACGTTTGTTATATTTAGGTTCTGGACCTCGGTGTGGCTTTGGCGAGCTTTCTCTGCCTGAAAACGAACCCGGTTCTTCCATCATGCCAGGAAAGGTCAACCCAACACAATGCGAGGCCATGACAATGGTAGCGGCCCAAGTGATGGGAAACAATACTGCTATTTCCATAGCCGGTTCAAACGGTCACTTCGAAGTTTGTATCCATTCTAAAGTTCTCTTCGTTTTTTTTTTGTTTTTTGAAATTGTTACTAATTAAGACGATTTTACTGATTTGTAGTTAAATGTTTTTAAACCTGTCTTGATCAAAAATCTGTTACATTCAATCCGTATTCTAGCAGA